GTTAGTCCCATAGCGTAGTTAGCCTCGAAGAGTAGTTAGCCCCGTAGCGTAGTTTGACTATTAATTTGTGTATTTTTTGTAGCCTGTGTGTCATTTTGATAGCCTGTGTGGCACTTTGATAGCCTGTGTGGCATTTTGATAGCCTCTGTGGCATATTTTTTTTATACAGGGTTATTCAGCACATACGACACGGAGAACTGTGACTTAATGATTAGATTTTTAGATATTGTAAATTTTGGGTTCGTTGAAGGACTAGCTATAATTTAAAAATATTTTTACGAGATATAGAGTTTCCCAAATAAATAAAATACTATCAAAGTGGTATTTTTTTTAAATGAAACACCGTGTATATTATTACATTTTTAGTTTCTAGTATTAAAATAAATGTAAATTTGTGATAAGGTTTACCGCATTTTAATCCTACCGTTATTGAAATATTTACGTTTTTGTGAAAATACAGTAACACTTTTAATGCGTCATTATTCTAAGCGTATTTAAGTATTTAAAACCAATTTTTGTACGGAAGTTTTTTTATTTACCAAATTTTGTGTTGCAATAATAAAAATTATACTACCTTATACAGAGTGTCTAAAAATTATTTTAAATAATTACTAGTTTTTTAAGGGAATAACTTCTTTAATCCAAATGGAACACCCTGTACATTTTATGAGAATCGGATGCACAATTTAATTGTAATATCAAGTTTTCGTAGAAAATGCATTTTCTTATAATTTAGACCCCATTTTTCAATATACCCATGGAATATTGACATTTTAGATTATTTTTAAAGATGTAACAAATTTTCAAAGATTGCAGATACTAATACTGTCGATATAATTCGCATATTTCATTAAAAATTGTCAAAAAACTGTTTAAATATTTATTAAAGTCCAATTAATATAATCCCAGTATTCTAACTACATTAATTGACTGGTTGCTGTGATTAATAATAATTGCTCCAAATATTAAAAAACTGAATTTTGTAATACAGTGTGGTAAAAAGTAACATCTTATAAATTTTGTTTTATTTTCTGACGAATGCTTATTTATAACAACAGAAACGTATTTTCATAACTTATCATTATACTGATTTATGATTCAAATTCGCATTTATTTAGAATAATTTATTAACTAAAACAATTAAGTACGTAATTAACTAATTTTTGGGCTGAAATAATGGTGGTATATTTAATTGGTATATCCTTTTACAAAGATTTTAATAGTTTTATTTTTGTGTAAACAGATGGGCTTGCAATATTAGCGCTTTTAGCCCCTGTACATTTTGCATATTTGTCGTTTAAAAAAAAATAAATGTCGATATTTTATAGGTATATTGAAAAATTCATTTTTTACGAAAACTTGATGAAATAGGTGAAAAATAGTATGATTTTTTAACTATTTTGAAATAAAAATAGAATAACAATACAGCATAGTATTAGTATTTGTAGTTAAAATAGTGTACTGTATCCATAATTTTATACCAATAAATCCAATTCTGTAGGTATAAAAAAAATACGTTACAATTTAAAAATAACTTTATCAGTACTTTTTTTGCGACGCCCTGTATACACCAAAATATTTTGAGGATATGGATCTTTATTATCCGTGAAACAGTTATATATTATGTATGAACATTATAACTGGAGAATGTATGAACGTTATATATGGAGTATTTAGTTATACAGGGTGGCGCACTGATGTGAATGAGGTGGTTTATTTTTTAAATATAAACATAGCCATATATCCTAAACAACTTGACAATATTTTTATGAATTTGTAAATCAATCCATATTTACAGTAGCGGATTTTGTTCATAAAAGGACAAATTTGCTGACAACTAAATTTTGGGACAAGTATTTTTAAATAATTAATAATCATCATAGGCGGATTTGCTATAAACGTCACAAATGTCGCTGTTTACTTCAGCATTGACAGCTTGTAAGTGACTCGATACTTTGAGTAGTGATATTTACTGTAAGTAATTTTAATTTTTTTAATTTTCAATTTTGTTAATTTAATTCAAAGTAATGGTACGTAGAAAAGCTACAAATCAAAAACTACGCGAAATTATCATTCGTCAATACAGTACGGGAAAAACAATTCGAAAAATTTCTGATGATTTAGGTATTCCAAAAACCACGGTCTTTAATATGATAAAAAAATACGGCAAATCTGTCAATGTAGACGTTAGAGGTAAAAGTTCAGGAAGGCCAAAAGTTGTATCTCAGAGAGATTTACGAAATTTAGTAAAAATTTGCAAGTCTCCGAGAAGAAGTACTCTTCGCGAAGTAACAGTTAAATGGAATACTGTAACTGGTTTAAATATATCAAGAGAATGTTGCCGAAAATATATCCATAAATGCGGTCTTTGGTTTTACAAGGTAAACTTTATTTTGTGTGGATAATCAATTACCTGAAGATTATTGATACAAATTCTTATTTAGGCCAAAGAAAAACCGCTACTGACAGAAATTCAAAAGAAAAATCGCTACAATTGGGCAAAATCAAAATTATCGTGGACACAAAATGATTGGAATGAGGTCATATTTAGCGATGAGTCTAAATTTGACGTTTGCGTTGGAGATCATCGAAAACGAATAATACGAAATAAACCAGAAGCCTTTCATAAAGATCGCTTAAAGAGGGTTGTTAAATTTCCTAAGGGAATTATGGTTTGGTCAGCAAGATGGTTTGGTCAGCAAGAATTTGGGCAAATTAAATTTTATAGATGACACTGTTAACGCCCAAAAATATCAACATATTTGAGACCTCACTTTTGCCTAGTGCTCAAGAATTGTTTCTAAACAAAGAATATATTTTCCAACAAGATGGAGAATCGTGTCATTCAGCAAAATCAACTAAAATTGGTTTGGTAATAATAATATAAAAGTTCTATCCCATCCTGCAAGTAGACCGGACCTTAATGTTATAGAAACTGTGTGGCATAAAATGAAGCAATATTTAAGAAACCACCCTCAACGAACAATTTTTGATTTGCGGATAAAACTGCAGGAAATTTGACATAATTTTTCTCCTCAAATGTGCCAATCATTGGTAAATACAATGCCATTAAGAGTTCAGGCAGTTGTTAAGGCGAAAGATGATGTAACTCCGTAATAAACAAATTTCTTGTTGTGCTGTCCCAATATATAGTTGTCAGCAAATGTAGCTTGATTTTTGGCAAAATAAGCTATTATCAAAAGTGATTTGTTTGCAAAGTTATAAAAATATAGTAAAATTGTCTAGATCATATTGTAATATTTGAATTTAAAATAATAAACAAAATAAATTGAGTCGTTTTAACAAATTACTATTTTTATTGCAAAAAAAAGACCTTGTCCCAACATATAGTTGTAAGGGCTCGTATATGTTTCCATATCTTTTACAACTCCCCTCTATGATAATAATCTAAGCTCCAATTAATCATAAGAAAAGATTTTCTGGTATTTAAACTCCTTCGAAAAAATGCGATTACCGATTGAAATTTAGAAATGTACGGCACTAGCGCGAATCCGAATCCCGGATATCCGTCTTATCCGATCAATTTCCATCACAATGGAACGTCCCGAGCGAGTAAAATAAATTTCTTGTCGTCATAGAAAACGGCAACTTACAGACACTTCAAATTTGCTACTTAACTCAATCAATTCCCCGGGGGTTTTAAAACTTTTCGAGAGTCCCCTTGGCATCCCTCTATCTCTGTTTCTCTTCCGCCTCTGTCTCCCTTCGTAGAAGATAAAACTTTGGCCCTATTTTTTTCGGCGGAAAATTTTATAAACTATAAATTGAAATTTTCCGAAGTTTTATGAACTTAGCCAATTCGGCTTGTAACAAAGTTGCCGAGAAGTTGTAAATTATACGTTTTAATGTTTCGATACTTTTTAGATATAGAGTTTTATTATTTTAAACGTTGGGAACTTTGGTCGAGTTTATGAAAGTCACCTTCAGATAGGAGAAGTTTGAATAGGAAACTTTTAGTGTTTTAACAACGGAATTCCATTTTGAATTATTTTGATTTTTTTTTGGATTTTTATTTGGAATTTTTTGGTATTTTTTTAAATTTTTTGGAATTTTTTGGAATTATTTGGAATTATTTTGAATTTTTTGGAATTTTTTGGAATTTTTTAGAATTATTTGAAATTTTTTGGTATTTTTTGGTATTTTTTGGTATTTCTTGGTATTTTTTGGTATTTTTTGAAATTTTTTGAAATTATTTGGAATTTTTTGAGAAAAAAAATCTATTTGGTGTACACGATTCGAGCAGCGGTTTACCCCTCGGAGAAATATAAGCCCGTGTTATAAAAATTAGTTCCCACGTTTCCTGAAATTGATCGAGACGCACCGTGATTGGTTGTTTGTTTTTTATTGTTAATCTGCGTTAACAATCACAGCGCGTCTCGATCAATTTAAGGAAACGTGGGAACTAATTTTTTTAACACGGGCTTATATTTATCGTGCTAGGCCATCAAGGTCAAACATTGTTTTGGCTTCAGAAAAATAAGTAAACATGGAAAAACTGATATGAAAACAGTTACCGATGGTAAATTAAATTGGCTATTCCTCGAAGATTTTACAAGAATATTTAGTTTTAATCATTGTCTAATATTAATTACAATACAGTAAAAAAATAAAACAGTGACTAACCAGCGGTCTACCATTTATCGGCTTATAATCCAGGGTATTGCGCCTTACGAGCAAAATATACACAAAATTATTTAAAAAATCGTCTAATTATTTATTATTTCTGGTTATGGTAAAGTAACATTTAGACCGTCGTCTGTAGTGAAGTTTAGTTTACTAATTTGGTATTCTTTTTCTAGTTTTAATTGTCTAAATCCCTACATAATAAATACTAGTTGAATGGATTTATATCAAACCATCCGGGGTGCTAATAAAAGTATTGTTTACATATTTCTCTTAACGCTTCTAATAATTATTTTCTATAGATTTTTCATTACGGATATGTTGATACATATAAATATTAGAATAATTTGCCTTACCTTGTTCTGAGCTTTAGCGTAGACGAAGTCATAGACGAAACTAATTCCCAATACAGTAATACCAGTCTCCTTGCTCAGCATCGCACAAACAGCTAGTACAACGCTTAAAATCACATAAAACCACTCTTTGAGGAACAACTTCCAGCAGCACCAACGCGCGGATCCTTCTTTAGCCCTTTTGGAGCCGCTGTTGGCCCCTGGTTCATGATGCAGTAGGTTTTTGTTGGGCCAGTTGCAGCTAGTTACGCTTTTCTGTAAGGTAACGGCAAATTTGTCGTACCTTTTGGAACCGTGCTTGTGATGAGTTACGTTATTGGTGGGTATCTTTGAGCAACAAACGGAGTCTCTGTTGGCTACGTGGGACATGTAGGCCAGCAGTGATAGGAAAAATAGGTTGCAAGCGGCCAAATCTGCTCTACCTGTAAGAGACAATTTTTTTTAAATGACGTATGAAAAAATTTAAAACTTAGTAGGGAAGAACTTTTTCAAAACACCTGGTACCTTAGAACTAGTTCAAAATCCACTGATTTTTTTATGTTCTAAAATTCCTGAATTTTTTACTAGTTCAAACGTATTTTTCAATTTTTTATACAGTACCTATATCCCCGGATTGTCTTTACAAGAGGAAAAACTTTTTTATTATAGACATTTTGAGAATAATGCATTCTTCATAAAAATATTTGCTTGTTCTAAAATGGTTATTCCTATTTATGTTCTTCAAATTTTTATACCGATTTAGAGAAAATTACGAAAAAACATATACAGGGTGTTTCAGAAAGATGCACCATCTCTGGTGAAGAGGTCCCTCACATAAAAATAAGATTTATTGTTCATATCAACATAGGTCCGATTCTGCTTTGTTTCGTAGTTACAGGGTGTTAAAGTCTTAATATTTTTTCGATTTATTATAATTTTCTTCCAAATACTTTTATCGTTTCAAATGAAATTTTGAGAGTAAAAGTTATCATAAATGCGACATACTTTAAAGCTAAAAAATTGTTGACATATTCACCAGTGACATGCATATGGGTCACAGGAATATTTTTCTAAAAAAAAACATGTACGCCACTGACTTTTTTTCTCTATTTAACGAAATAGTGTAAGCAATTTAATGGCGATTAAAAGTTGTCTCTTGATATTTTGTCGATTTCGGCCTCCTTGATGAGATAAACGCAATTTTATTAATTTGTCTTGATCCAAGTCTAATAGCAATCTTTAAAAAAATGTAATATATTAACTTGCAAATGTTTTAAATAAGTACTCGTTGATTCCCTATCAAAAAATATGAAAAAAAGTTCCTATAAACATGGGTATGGAAATGCATAGTTTCAGAGTTACAGGATGTTAAAAAATTTTAAAATTAGTTTTTTTCATCATAAATACCATTATTTTATTATTTGAAATTAATAATAACTAATAGTAATAAGATTTAATAATAAATTAGGTAAAATATGTAATTTATTAATTATATTTTGATTTTTATTTTATTAATTATTGTGATTAATAAACTTGACATCAAAAGAAAAAAGTCAGTGGGGCACATGTTTTTCTTAGAAAAATATTCTAGTGTAAACCCATACGCACGTCCCTGATGAATCTATCGACACTTTTTTAGCATTAAAACATGTAGCACATATAGTAACTTTTAGTCTTAAAATTTCATTTGAATCACTAAAAGTTGGAAGAAAATTAGAATAAATCGAAATATTGTTAAGATTTTAATACCCTGTAGCTACGAAACAAAGCAGAATCGGACCTATGTTGATATTAAAATAATATAATATAATAATATAGTTATATTATTATTATATTATATTGTATCCCTTAAGGAATTAGTTATAGTTAATTAATCTAAATAGCTCAATTAAAAGACCAAGAAAGGAGCATATTAATACACTTTGAAAGTTGTTAAATTCAACGATAGAGTAAAGTCCATTATCTGATTTGTTCGAGTTACAAGAAAATATTAAATAAAAAACTAATTTAAGATTTTTTAATTTTAAGTAGGTAGTTCATATTCATAAATATATTTTGAGCAAAATTGAGCAATTAGCCTGTAGAATCTAACTGAAATATCCTTACATACATATATTTTTCTTCATCTCTATAAAACTCTTCTACCAAATTTAGGCATCACTGACAATTTTTTAACACACTGAAATCTAACATTTGTTTAAACAAATTTAAATACTACAAAAAATAATAATTTTAAGGATATAACATTATATATAAAAAAGTTAATAGGTAATAAAAAATAGGGTATTGCATTTTAAAAAACATATGTTTTATCCGCCGTACATTTTCACCCTGTATATTAATTAAAAACTGTATAGTTTAATTCGAATTTTACTTACCTACAATTCCTGCTACAGCTTCGGTATGAATAGGATGGGCGGCAAACAGAGCTCCAGTAATTAGTGATCCCATATCTTTTCTACTTTTCGGTAGTAACTTCCTGGCTACTCTAATGAGCAAGAATGTTGCTGAGCAATGGAGCAAGATGTTTACGAAGTGGTACCCCCATGGATTGAACTCTCCGAACAGGTAATTTAGGCGGAAAGTTAGTACACTCAGTGGTCGATAGGATCCGTGGGAGCCACTGTCCGACAGGGGCGTACCCCAGAAATCGTTCTCCCAAAGTTGAGACCATGGTGTCTTTGGCAATAGATCTGGATTGGTCAGAATGGCGCGTCTGAAACAAAACCATTATTATTATTCGAATTCTAACAGTATTTTGTTATTAATTAATAATGATAATAATCGATCTTTTTTCAAACGTCACAAAAGTATTAATTTTTACGACGCGATTGGCAATATAAAATAGTTATTTTGTATCTAGATCACCAAAGCAGTTCGCGCACAAGCTGCAAACAAATTTTTCTACAAACATTAAAATCGGGATATCCCTAAAAATTATTATTATTATATTATTGCTTCGAAAAAAAGGCGTGAGGTTGGAATTTATGTTTTATTATTACTGAACATCGTCATCGATTTCCTTTTAGGTCGTTTTAATACTTGGTATTTATGGTGCTTTCCGCCGTGAGGAACTTACTAAAATGACGGTCGATAAAATAGAAGATAAAGATTCAATTTTGATTGTTAAAGTACCCGATACAAAAACAGACATAGACCTAGTCTTTAGGGTGTCAAATTTGAATTATATTGAGATCTACCGAAAATACGCAGCTCTTCGTACAATAAATGCTACCAACCGCAGATTGTTTTTAAAATATCAAAATAAAAGATGTGAAATGAAGAATACCGGAATCAAGTACCTCTACATCAAAATTGGATAGTGTTTCAAGTCCCAAAACCCCCATATCTCAAGCAAGATTAGAACTATCTAGTTTGGGATTAAATATTGCTTCATGTACCGGTTGTACTATTAATGTTAATATTATAAATAATAACTAGAATATGCATTAGTGTTAAGTTTGATATTTGTTATTTGTTTATTCTTGAATATTCGAAATAAATAATTAGTTCTGATTTAGTTATTCAAAAATCAAAATTCCAAAATCCCATATAATTTACATGCAGTCTGCGAAATAGACATTTCGCGCATTACTTTGCGCACCGTGTGATGGTAACGTAGGAAAATAAAAAAAAGTGTCACTTCGCACATTGCTATCAATTCACGAACCTTGTCATCTTTTGACGTTTGTAGAAAAAAGTAATTTTAACGCCTAAGCATAACAGTACGAAAATATATTATTAAACTGATATAAAGTGTCAAATTGAACGAGCGTAACCATAGCTTATCGATATATAATTATTACATAGAAGGTATGACTTTTAAATATTTTTATATTGTTTGGAACGTTTAAAATTGTTTGAAAAGTTATTTTTGGCGTTTGAAAAAAATAGCATGTTCTATTAGGAGTAAAATAGTATATTAAACAACGAGTTTCGAAAACGACGTTTTGCACACGAGTTTGACAGTTTGTTGGCTCGAGACGCAGGCAAGAGCCACAAGTCGAACGAGTGTACAAAGAAGTTTTCCAACGAGTTTTTTACGCTATTTTTTCTACGACTACAAATTAGCAGCAGACTCACTCAGTTTTTGCCAGTTTTGAGAATTAATTTGCGATGTAATGATGACACTTTTCTGACGGCTGCGTTGCGTTTGGGGTTTCAGCTAAACATTGGAGGTTAAAAATGTTAAAATTGGCACATGTAGTGTGCAAAATGACACATGTCGTGCGCTAAATCCTTAGCACACAACAGTTTGCAAAACGCCAATTTCAGATCGAGTTTTCCGTGTGTCAAACTGCATTTTCTAGGCTAGTCCATTGCCTGGAAACTTATATGGTGAAATTTTGATAAAATAATTTAGTACTCACTAAAAACACGGTATGTCGCTAGTGGTAGGAAAAGTAATTTTTAGAGGTTACTAGTTTATTTGGTTGCCTGTGATATGCATATACAGGGTGTTTCCTAATTAATCTAAAAAATAAAAAATCGTTAGAAAACGGCTTAAGGCGGGCTCTTAATAAGTATATTTATTTTTTTCTCGGCAACCGTTTGATGAACAAGAAAAACTCAAAAGATCAATTTTGTTGAAAAAGGATGGCCAGTCAAGAAAAAAATATTTTTTCTTTAAAAAGTAGTATTATATATATAGTTAGTTAGTAGCAGTAGTGTATATTAGTATTATTATTGTAGTAGCTTATAGCAGTAGTGTACCATATATTTTAAGCAAAATATCGATTTTTTTTAATTTTAAACACCCTGTAGATCAGAAAGGAAGTACTTTAGACCTAATGGTTATATAAAAATTGTTTTAAGAACACATGAGGAATCACACCACAATTTTTTAGACTAATTAGAAAACACCCTGTATATTGTCAACTTGACAATGATTGTTGATAAATCAAAAAATACCTTTTCTGTGAAAAAAGCCCGATTTTCGCAGGAAAAATTTTGGTTTTTATTGAATTTGGGCCTGCGTCTGCAAATACCGGTATGTTTTTTAATATTCTATCTATCTAAATTTTAAATATAGTCAGAAATAGTTTTATTATTTATTAACTGTAAAAATGGTATACTTATAAGTTTCATCAAATATTGTGATTTACTTTCTACCTTGTAGTCAAAATTTATATTTAATAAACTGTAAAATATATATATATTCTTATGTTTTATTAAAGTTACACAGATATACTAATATATCAGTGTAACTTTAAAACTAAATCCTTTGAAATCAAATATAAACATAAAAAATATTTACAGCAGAAAAGGCGAAGGCGCTGGGTTAAACGTAGTCTCTACTAAGAACACGGAGGGGCGCTTTGACCCAAAATTTTACTATTAAGTTTCATATCTATCTTAATAGAAGATTATTTTCTTTTATCTATGGGCTAGTCGTAGAAAAATGACATTTTGTGCCTCGGCTGTATGTCAAACGTACAGCCTCGCCATACAAAAGTATCTTTATTACTCCTAATAAAACAATATCGTATTATTCCTCAAGTGATGCATAATTTTTATACTTCTTATATTAAGTTATATAGTTATAACCTAATTAAAACAAATATTTACAAACTGCCAAACATAATTTATTCATTAAATATATCGAAGTGCAAATATTTCCAGGACTGGTAGATCTCTATAAAAGAGACATATTTTCTGTTTACCGTTTTTCAAATAAGTCCAAAATAACCGAGATATTCAAGTTTAAAAATAAAAAAATATATATATTTGCATCCCTTTTAGTGCTGTAACCATAGAGTAAAGCCGTAACCATGGTAATATCAGAGATTCAGAAATTATACTGTGGAAAAAGTTGCGGTGAACAGGCAGTTCTAAAATAGACAGGAAATTTTAAAAAAATATGCACGATTTTCAACATGTGATGTGAAGACGTGTTCCTGGGGTCAAAATATACCACCCCTTAAAATATTTTCACTTACTTAAAACTCGCCCTGTATAAAACATTAGATACCAATAAGACCTCTGTACAGGGCGGGCCAAATTGGACACTTTTAAAGCGGAACGCCCTTTTCCATAGAATATAGTAGACGAAAACTATTATCAGTATCTTTTTAAATACGGAGATACGCTCAATAACAAAAACCGTTGTAAAAAACTGCCTAGAGATTCCGTTGGTGTTCCCTGATATGAGACGATTATATATAACACTTAGGTCGCCTCAGATAGCATGAGTTATTCTATTTATTGTTTTTGGTTGCTCTTTTGTTAGCTAACATATTGCCAAGTCACTGTAGAAAAATACATTCAACAAGGCCCTTATTGTCACACTGAACCAAAAACATCAACATGAATGGAGAGTAAATGATTGGATTGTATTTAGATTAGTACACTGAAATTATTCACAGCATAAATCGATTCAATTAAATAGACACACATGTTACATGATACCTTTGTCATATCAAATAAATAAGGAAAAGCTTTAGCACAGATAGAATATTACAACAGGAAAACAAAATGGGTCTTGTAAAGTATAAGTACCCACGAATTTAGCAAATTTTTTTGTGGCAGTTCAAAGTCCTATGCTTATAGAACAGTTTAAAAGAAAAAAATCCTTGGATGAAGCACTTTTGAACCAAAAAAATAATTTAAAAATGTCTAAAATGCTAACCAATCTATCACAGTTAATTATTAAAATATAAAAACCACAGCTTAACACCCTCCACAAAGAAAAGCTAACCAAAGCAATCCAAATGCTAACCAATCTAATAATATTTTTGCAAAATCACAGTTAATTATTAAAATATAAAAGAAAACTGCATGATACAATGATTTTTTGACTTGAATCAGCCCTATTTACGTAAAGCTTTAATAAAAACAAGAATAAGTGCAACATTCCGAGGTACTTATAGTTTACAAGAACCAACAAAATAATATAATTTAGTTAACATTATAGCCGAAGGTATTTCGCTACTGCGCAACCCATAACATTTGCAAAAAATAAATCCAAAAAAAATTCTTTAGGCAACTTGAAATTTGTTTATTCTTAAATTTTAGCATCTATTTAACCTAGAAATAAGTATTCCAGACTTTTTTTTCGGGTTTAAAGTGTAACCAGACCATTCCAAATATGTTTAATTATTATACCTGGAAAACATACTTTAGGCATTCAAAAAATTTTACAGCGTGTTTATTAGATGATATTAAAAAATATGCGTTAATTGCCAGACGAATTCAATGGGATTTAATACTTGCCAGACGCGAATAAAGATTTTAAATGAGCGCGACAAAAAAGTCTTAGGAGTATCTATAAGCGCAAAAAAGATAGTTTATTGAGACCCGTCGGCAGCCGATGCGGCTGACGTAACAATATTTTGGAGTATGTACTTCAAATTTTCATAAAAGCAATTTTTTTTTCGGTTTCAGAGATTATTCAGAGATTATTTTGTTGGAATTAAGTTACCATGTACAAATATGTATTTATAAATTAAATATTGACGTGCACAGTGTAAACAGTTTAGAATAATTACTGAAAATAAATATTTTAGTAACTACTAATTTCGCTACTAACTACTAAATCACAATGGATAAAAAACATTTAAGTTGTGTAGTTTGTAAAAAAGTTACTAGTGACAAAGTTATTGTTTTTGATGAAGGCAGACTACAAAAATGCAAAGAATTTTTAAAAGTGCGCCAACAATATGGTTTAAAATTTAAAGAAGTGGTTTTACCAGAAAACGTAGTCCCGACAAAAAGGTA